CCCATCCCACATCATCCGAATTCCTTCTCAGGAGATTTGCTCCCTCAGTTTCAGGTGCAACCTCTGTTGTTGACATCCTATACATGCATTCAGATTTCAGTGACAATACATTCAGAGTTCAGTGAACATTCAGGCAATACATACATGTAGCAAATCAACTAAAACAATCAGTCACACATCCTACATTCAGACATTCAGAGTAACATTCAGGCATTCATGCATTCAAATTAACATTCAGGCATTCATGCATTCAAATTAGGCATTCAGAGCAAATAACAATTAACAAGTGATAACAATATTACCAAATGACAGCAGGCATTCAGAGTAAACATATTAGCTAGCAATCTAACATTCAGAGAATCAGAGTAGGCATACATTCAGATTTAGAGGACAGATCAGCCTCTCTATCTTCAGATCAGGCATACATGATACATTCAGATTCATTTAGAGGACAGAGGAGGCAGTGAGTAGAGTAGACAGCAATAGCCGAGCAGGGAAAGCCGGGAAGGCAGGGTACCTGGCTACCTACAGCCGAGCAGGGGAGGGCAGCGACCGGTTGGTGCAGTCGTGCAGGCGGCCAGCCACCCGACGGGGAGGGGAGCGGAAGGCTAGAGCAGTACCAGTGGGGACGGGAAGTCACCGGCGGGAGCTCGAGCAGCAAACCGGCGGGGATGAGCGCGACTGGCGGGAGGCGGCAGGGCGCGACCGGCGGGAGGAGCAGCCCGGCGGTGAGGGGCGTGACCGGCGGAGAGAAGCTGCGGGCGTGATGGCTTCTTTCCCTCTTATACTTTGCCGCCCGATTCCATCTGCGCGCGCTCCTCACTTTCTTTTCCCACGCCCGCGCACGGGCCCGATGCCAGCTTCGCGCGCGTGCGCTTCCGCGGTGGCAAAATTTTCTCGCGGCTCGCTCGCGCCATCCGCCCAGGCACCGCGCAGCCCGCCTCCGCGCCGCCCAATCACGCCGAGGTGCCGCCTTACGAAGCCTAGGCGCTGCGCCCGCCTTGGAGTCCGCCTACCCCCATAGGCCAGGCGAGACCCGTCGCCCAGCGATTAAGCGCGCCTAGGCGGGGATGAGGCGTCGCCTTTTTGAACTTTGTCTATAACAGCTGGGCCTATTGCCCCTCGCTACTTTAACTAGCCTGTTGCCTTGTTCTGTCGTCGTCTCCTGGCGTAGGTTTTACTGACCATGACATCTCTCCCCGCCTGAAGAATTAGCTTGTCCTCGAGCTAAAATTTGGGATATAGCTTCTGGAAGAGTTCAGCATATTCCCAAGAGGACTCTGCAGCTGGCTGGTTCTTCCACTTGATCAATACTTGTAGTTGTCCCCGGTATAATCTTGATTTAAGCATGAGGTCTGGTTCTAGAACTGCAGCTCCTTCGTGCATTGTTGGCACCTGTCCTGGCTTTGAAGGTGGTGTACCTTTATGTGGTTTAAGCATACTCACATGAAAGGCATTGTGGATACGAGCCTCTTGAGGTAGATTCAAACGGTAGGCAACTGAGCCGATGCATTCACTTATCTGAAAGGGGCCGAAGTATTTTGGAGCTAGCTTGCCTTTCTGGAGCTTGGAGATTCCCACTGCTGCTCGGGCCATCAGTTTAAGCCACACCCAATCGCCGACTTGGAATGATCGATCCGTGTGCTTGTTATCATAATATTTGTTGTAGTAATCCTGGGACTGTTGGAGACGTACCTTTGTTTGTTCCAAGAACTGGTCATGTTCGGTAAGTAAGTCATCAATTGAAGGTACTGCAACATCACCTGGGCTATAGGTTTTAAACTGTGGAGGGTCACGTCCATAGACTAATTTGAATGGTGTAGTGCGGATGGATTTATGGTAAGCTGTGTTGTAGCAAAATTCTACCCAAGGAAGCCATCTGATCCATTATTTGGTTCTGTCTCCTGTCAAGCAGCGCAGATACATAGTGATGATTTTGTTGACGATCTCTGATTGGTCATCTGATTGTGGGTGGTAGGCTGATGTCATCTATAGTTTCACTGCTGACAACCGGAATAGTTCCTACCAGAATCTGCTGGTGAAGACGACATCCCTGTCACCGACAATGGATTTTGGTAACCCATGTAATATGACTATCTCGGAGAAGAATTTGTGAGCCACCGTTGTTGCGGAGTAAGGATGTGCCAGAGGGATGAAATGAGCATATTTGGAGAGGCGATCCACGACAGTGAGAATAACAGATTTACCTCCTGACCTTAGGTAATGCTTCAATAAAATCCTTGGATATGTCCTCCCAGATTTGTTTTGGTATTGGTATTGGTTGAAGGAGGCCAGCTTGGTGGAGGTGTTCTGTTTTATTGCATTGGCGGACTGTGCAGTCACTAACATACTGTTGAACTGTTTGTTTGGCTCGAGGAGTATGAAAAGTTTGTTGGAACCGATGTAGTGTTTTCTCGGATCCCTCATGTGTAGAATTATGGATGGCGTGGAGAACTTCTTGTAGGATAGGTGAGGATGATGGAATATGTACCCATTGTTTGTAGAGGATGAGGCCGTCCTCGAATGTCCATGCAGGTGAGAGTTGCCCTGTTTTGATAGACTGCCCGAGCTTGCCTGCCTCTTCATTGGTAGTGATTTCAGCCTTGAGATGATCGAATATTGGGAAGGTAATCTCTGACAGGGCCATCAATGAAGGCTCAGTTGCATCCCGGCGAGACAAGGCGTCGGCCACTGTATTCTGTTTGCATGGTTTATACTCAACTGTGAAGTCATAGCCCAACAATTTACTAACCCATTGGTGCTGTGGAATTGTTGAAAGGCGCTGATCCAGAATGTATTTGAGACTGTAATGGTCAGAACGGATAAGAAACGTGCGCCCCCAGAGGTAGGGTCGCCAATGCTTGACTGTTGTAACCAAACCAATTAATTCTCTTTCATATGCAGCTAATTTTGCATGTCGGGGAGCAATCATGCGGCTGAAGAAAGCTATTGGACCATCTCCTTGATGAAGTACTGCTCCAAAACCTGTGGAAGACGCGTCGTGTTCCACCAAAAATGGTTTGTTGAAGTCAGGTAGCTGCAAGACTGGTGCTGTGGATAAGACCTGTTTGAGTTGTTGGAATGATGTCAGTGCCAGCTCAGTCCAGCGGAAATTGTCCTTCTTGAGGAGGTCTGTCAGAGGTTTGGCGATTGCACCAAAATTTTTGATAAATTTCCTGTAGTAGCCAGCAAGTCCAAGAAAGCCTTTCAATTGTTTAATTGTCAGGCTGGGGCCAAGAAGTGATGGCTTTAATTTTTTCTGGGTCAACTGCAACCCCTTGATCTGATATAATGTGTCCCAGATAGCCTACTTTGGTTTGTCCAAAGGAGCATTTGGATTTCTTAAGGAATACTGAATTAGCCTGTAGGAGAGCCATTACTTGCCGAATGTGTTGGAGATGCTCTTCCCAAGTTTTGCTGTAAATCAATATGTCGTCGAAGAATACCAAAACAAATTTCCACAGGTAACGGCCAAGAATGTCATTCATAAGAGCTTGGAAGGTGGAGGGAGCATTGCACAGGCCGAAAGGCATGACCAAGAATTCAAAGTGGCCATGGTGAGTTTTAAAGGCTATTTTCTTAATATCATCGGGGTGCATGCGTACCTGATAGTATCCTGATCTGAGATCCAATTTGGTGAAGTACTTAGCTCCTTTGAGTTCGTCGAGTAGTTCATCAATTACCGGGATAGGAAATTTATTTTTTAATGTGTTGCCATTGAGAGCACGGTAGTCAACACAGAAACACCATGATCTGTCCTGTTTTTTAACAAGCAGTACTGGTGATGAGAATGGGGAGGTACTGTATCTGACGATCCCCTGTGTCAGCATACTGTGGCATTGTTTTTCCAATTCATCTTTTTGAATCTGCGGGTAGCGGTAGGGTCGAACAGCTGTCGGTTTGGTTGGATCTTTGAGATGAATGCGGTGGTCATATCGCCGTTTTGGGGGTAACCCTTGAGGTTCCTTGAAGAGTGATGAGAATGTCTGCAGGAGGTTGTCCATTGATTCTGGAGCACTCAGTGTGTGTAGGCGTGGTTGTTGCGGTGGCTTGCTTAAGCTTGTCCATATAATTCGGCGTCCATTGCGCCAGAATTTCATAGTGAGGTTGTTGAAATCCCAGATGATTGGTCCGAGTGAGCTTAACCAATTGACACCTAAAACAAAATCATATCCTCCGAGTTTGATGCTGTAGCAGTCAACGATGAATGATTCTGAGTCGATCTGGACTGGTAAATTGTTGTAGATGCCCACATTAGAAATTTGATCTCCATTTGCAACTGCAACTTTAAGAGAGTTTGGGGCAGGCGTGCGCTGGAGATTGAGGTCAACTGCTGTATCTGAATCAATGAAGTTGTGGGTTGACCCTGAGTCTAGTAGTGCTAGGAAGTCACGACCATTGATTGAGAGTTGAACCTGCATTGTCTGACTTGTGGTGATTCTTGTAACCACATTAAGTGAGATTTGTATATCCTGGTCGTCTGGCTGTTTATGCTGAACAGACTGTTGTGGTGGAGTTGAGGGCTGAAATTTCCTGGCCAATGCCATTGCTGTCTCCAATTTCGGGGGCTGTTGAAGTTGAATGTCTATCTGCAGTGTTGATGCTAATCCAGCGGTGTATAGCATCACTTGCTGAGCAGTTGACAGGCCTGTTACCTTGTTAAGCGTGAGGAGAAATTGATTTGTATATTTGTCCAATTCACCTGATTGGCGGGTGTTGGTGAGGTCGCCGAGATGGTTGTGATGGAGCGGAGGGCCGAAGCGTCTATCAGTCGCTTCAGAAAATTGGGGCCAATTTGGGTGGCCAACTTCCTGCTCCCATCTGATGAACCAGGTGAGGGTGTCCCCTTGCAGGTGAAAAGCTACCAGATGCATCTGTTCGTCCTCTTTTGTGTTCTAAGCGACAAAAAATTTGTTGCATTTGTACAGCCACTGAGACGGCTCCTCATTCCCATTATATTCCGGGAACGATAATTTATGGTGGTTTGTCGGGCGGCGAGAATGATGTTGTTCGCCTTTCTGTACGTCTTTGCTGTGTTCTGGATCTGGTGGAGCCTCTGGTGGAATTGTTTGAATTGGCGGAACTGGTTCTGGTGGAGGAAGTGCGATCTGCGGTATGGAGGGAGTTGGTAGTATTGCGCGCTTGGATGGTGGTACATACTTCTGTTCGTCCTCCGGATTGGAATTTTTTTTTCGAACATCTTCACCCAACGATCGGTGACGACGCGGATGTCCTCCATGGAGATGTCGTGACGTGGCTCCGGATACCAGTTGTCAGTCGCTTGATCTCCTTCTGCAGCTGACGTGGAGGCTGAGCAACTGATTAGGGCTGATCAGCGGCGGCGGCTGCCTGGCGGCCGGGCTTGGCCGTGCAGTGGCGCTGGCCTGGCTGAGGCGGCTGAGGCTGGCCGGGCTGGGCGGCCTGGCTAGCAGCGGAGGAGGGGCGGCGCAGCAGCGGATAGAGAGGGGGCGGCGACGGTGGCAGAAGGGAAGAGAAGAGGGCGGCGCGCGGAGAGAAGAGGGAAGGGAGAGATGGATAAGGGTTTAACCTTGAACTAGCTTGCCTTCTCATTAAGTGTCTCCCTCATATATATATAAGGGGGGTTATAATTGCTAATGGGTTTAGCCCATGAGTCTATCCTCCTATGGAGGCCTGATCTATAACAGCTGGGCCTATTGCCCCTCGCTACTTTAACTAGCCTGTTGCCTTGTTCTGTCGTCGTCTCCTGGTGTAGGTCTTACCGACCATGACACTGCTTCTCAAACCTTATATAAAAGGTTCATTTTATAAGTTCCTCCAATCTTTTCTTTGCTGGCCTTCGTTTTGATGATAACAGTTTCCGAGCTATTGCTTGGCCTTGTTTTATGAACAATCCTATGCCTGGTTCAGTGGTCTTAGTAATTGGTGCAGCAAAGCAAGCATTTACCTCAGTTAAACTTTCCAACTGCTGCTTCCTACATTTTTTGTGTGATCAGAAGAACATGTTTCTGATGAATTTGTTCCCTTTTCAGCATTTCAAAAGCTAAGCTTTCTGAGTATTCAGAAAAGATTGAAGCACTAGCTTCCAGGCTTGCTGCTTCAGTGGTATGTGTCTATTGTATTGACTCATTTGTTTGAATTGTTTCCATTATCATGCTTAGTTTATTTGCTAGCTCTTCATAGAATTTAAAGCAATCACACCATATGATGTTAATTTTTTATCTGAACCTTTACCTCTTATACCTTTTAGATTGGATACACTTCTTATTAGTTATTATCATATTCTTGTTGGTGCAGCCTGAAAATGAAAAGCCAATTATTGAAAGCAGAGATGAAATCTATGAAGAAGCAAAGCCAGAAAGTCCAATATCTTTATCATCAGGACTGCGAAGGAGATCAACGTAAGTTAAATTTGGTCATTTTGCCTGTTTTCCTTTCTTATGGTTACAGCTACGGAACCAACAGATGAAATTAAATAGAGCCCATGCCGAAGTTGGACCAAGCCATCAGGAAGGAAAAGGAGATATTGGAGCACCTATAAAATTGGATGCAGAAGCTCAGGCTCACATTGAGAAGCATAGGTATGCCATTTTTGTCTTAATCTGTGAGAAGATATCTCAGGCTCCAGCTCAATGCCCATGTTATTCTTATCCACAGTTTCTTCATTGCACACGAGCAACCCATTTACTGGGTCCATTTGTTGTCTGGTGTCATTACTCACTAAAATTGTTGTGTTGGAAGCTATAACTTGTAAATTGTTGTGTTGGAAGCTATAATTTGTGCATGCCTATTAGCTTTCTTGTTCTAATTGTTTGAAGATATGTGCATCAAATTTTTTTGTGTCATCAAATGAAGATTGTGCTCTTACTATTACTTTCTTACCACACAGGAAGCTCCAAGAAGATTTGACTGATGAAATGGTCGAGTTAGCACAGCAACTGAAGGAACGTAGCCTAATGATGAATCAATCCGTGCAGGAGACAGAGAAGGTATTTTTCTTTCATCTAGTCCTCAGATTTCTGTTGTGTTGACACAATAGTTTATGTGGATAAAGTTGTATTGATATTGCAATGGTGAACTCCTTCAGCTGCGTGCTGTTTAGAATGTTGCCTTACCTGCTGATGCAGATCCTTGATTCTACCGAGAGGGCCGTCGAGCAGAGCTTGGCAAGCACGGGCCACGCAACCTCGCGAGCTGCGGAGGTCTACTCACTGGCTTCCAAGACTACGTGCTTCCAGTGGCTGCTAATGTTTGTGATGACCTGCATGTTTGTAATGGTGGTTCTGCTCATAAGGATCACTTGAAGGACGAGGCTATAGCAGGCACTCTAATCTTCTATTCACCCTTGACTTTGTTTCATGGTAACTCTTTGTGGTCATGGTGTTTTCTCGACCGAGTGTCTCCAACCAAACAAGCCTGTAGTATGTGAAACTGGAAGACAGCTGCCTGTACAGAGGCTTGATGATTACTGTTTTATTGGTCGGTCAGACCTGAGTGACTCCCTGGACTAATAATATGGAAATCGCTATATTTCAGAATTTTTAGAAAATTTGAGGCAACAATCTCACACAATTAACTACTCCATCCCAAATTATAAATCATTTCAACTTTCTTAGAGAGTCAAAGCATCTTAAGTTTTATAATTTTTATATAATAAAATAATAACATTTATGATACCAAATAAGTATCATTAGATTCTTTATTAATTATATTTTTATAGTATACCTATTTGATGCCATGAATATTTGTAATTCTCTCTATAATTTTGATCAAACTTGAGATATTTTGACTCTCCAAGAAAGTTAGAATGACTTATAATTTGGAATTGAGGGAGTAGTATATTTAAAAAGGCCACTCACATGACACAATTTACAATTTTTTATTATAGCCAAACAATAGGAGAAGTGTAATAATATTAGGGGGTGGCTTACTATTTTCAGTTTAGTTTACATTAGCAACCGTGACCTGAAAACCGTTTTGAGGGAATTTGGATAAGCTCGCCACTCTCCATGACCTAATTTTTCTCATGAAATTTTAATGTTCCTAGGAAAATAAGGCATGTTAATTCATGTCATACATGAAACAGCCTTGCAAAATTGGTAAAGTTTAAAAAATGAGAAGGCTTTGGGCATATTAGTTCTTAAAAACAAGTGTTTTTGTAGCGCATCGCTGCATCACCTTCGATAGAATATAACCATCAAAGTAGCTGTGTTAGTCTGCATGTACCCTATCGCAAATACGTAGTCCTGATGACACTCGACTGGTGCTCCTATGTAGTTGGACGATCAACATCGATTAATTATAACAGATAATAAGAGTTTCTACTAGCAAATAAGCACCAAAATAAGTTCATCAAAATTCAAACAATTTCAAGCTAGTCACCATAAGATAGAGCATGATTTTAGAAAATTTTGAAACTAGTTTCATAAATTTTTGAGGTAAAATATTTTTTCTTTGAATTTTCTAAGATTAAACTAGATTTTAAGATTTTTCATTTCATTATTTTTTTCATGTAAAAATACTTGGGTAAAATTTTGAAAATTTATTTTTATGATTTTTTAGATTTAAAAAATTATTTTTAGTTCGATTTACCTCCTAAACTTTTAGCTTAGCCTGATTTATCCTCCGACACGACGCCACATCAGCAAAACCAACATTAAAATCACTCAAGATGCATGAACACACAGTTTTAATAGTTGAGAGAGCTTAAAAGACTGGTTTTATAGGTCCGACAGGAAAATTGGATGACTGCGAATCCGCGATTATTTTTTTTAGTGGATGAATCGGTGATAGTGGATGGAGGTAAATTGAACTCATTGTTTCTTTAAAATTTTGGGTCAAGCTCGGGCCAGGCTTTTGATCCGTGGGCTGGCTCGTTAATCCGAAATGAACAGCTCTCGCAACAAATCTGGTGACCAGTCAGCAAAAAAGAAAAAGGCCCAATAGGCCACTCGGCCACGCCCCCCAGCCCTCCCTAGTGACCAGTGGGGGCACCAAAACATTGACCTAATTTTGTATCCGGCTCCGGCCTCACTCGATTTCGTGGGGGCGCAGCGTGCAAGGCGTAGACCGCAGTCTCCGACAAGCTTAGCAGCCAGCGGCCACCGCCAAACGTAAGATGGCAGCGGAGGCCAAACCGGCCGCGGCCAGCGGGATTGCCGGCGAGATGGAGGTGGAGGCGTACCGCCGCCTATTCCCAGTGGCCTTCCTGGAGCGCCACCTCGGCGAGTCCGTCCGCATCGATGCCCGCCGCCTCAGAGAAGCCCGCCCCACCACCGTCGCCCTCGGCGCCGTCTCCTCCGCGCATGGTTCCGCTCTCGTCCGCCTTGGCGATACCGTAACATTGCCACCTTTCCTATCCCTCCCTCTCCTATGTTTCACGTTTTGCTTGTCTTGCGCTGCGCTCTTCAACTGTTCGACGAATTGTCTTTGCAGGCCATGCTCGCGTCGGTCAAGCTCGAGGTGATGTCTCCCACGGCCGAGTGCCCAGACGAAGGATCCGTCGGTTCGTGTTCCCCTTTTCCCGGCTGCTTCCTATTGCCTTTGGTTTTTATTCTTTTGTTGATGTTGACGTATTTGTGTTTTGCGTAGCTGTTGAGTTCCACATGCCGCCCATCTGTTCCCCGCTGGTTAGGCCAGGCCGATCCGCTGAGGTTGCACCAGTCATCTCCAAGGCCCTTGAAGACATTTTGATGAGGTTTTTGTTTCTCCATTAACTTCAGCTCTTTAATTGAATGATGAATAGGTAAATGAATGCAGAATCGAATCCTTTCCATAGAAGAAGAGAGAGTTCATCAGGATAAAATTTAATCGATCTCTACCAAAAATCGTGACTGTTCACTATCACTATGGACTAGATGACTGGTTGTACTTAGTGCGGAGACTGGAGAGGACAGAAACTAATTATGTAGAACGCACTATGTAGTGATACACAGAGGAACATTACTGCTTCAGATCTATTTTCCATGGATCACAAACAGCGCCTGAATGGCCTTAATTCTCTGATTATTTGATATCATGGTGGAAATACTGCAATGATTTTGTCTTTAATAACGCTGCTCCAAGTGTGTCATTGGTGTTTCGGACAGTTGAGAAGGAGATAGCCATTTGGTTCAGCAATGGCTCGGGGCCTCCAGGATCTCATATAGTTTCAGTTTTTCTGGTTTAGTGGTCGCTTGTTAGTCGTGTTCTTGGTATTTTTTGTGGTGTCATTTCTGTTGTAAAGTAGTGGGGGTGTGGATTTTCATGTTATCTGCGGTGTTGTGTGGGTTTTACATATGGTACTTATTCTTCTTAATGAAATGACACAGCTCCTTGTGTCGTTTGAGAATGCCTTTTTTTTTAAACCATGGACCATTTCCTGTAAATCAAAATAACAGCAGGGTTCCTTGAAATTTTCCTTCCGTTTACGCTTAATTTTCTCTTTTGAGTATGAAGTGACACATGCTCCACTTTTGGTACTAGTAGACATAACTACAGCTATAAAAAATAACAATCAAAGGTCAAGTGGAGACTGAAGTTAGAAATTTGTAGTGGAAAAGAATAGAGGGCGTAGAAGGCACTGGTTTGCTTTTTTCAGGCATGCATGCAAATCCTGTACGTTCTGTTTGTAGGCTTTTGTCTGTTGGATTTGGTATCATCATTGCATGATTTCACTACTTTGGCCATTTCTTTTTCTGTAACACTCCCACAATCTAATGAATGGCACATAGTGATGGTAATTTTGTTCTGTCCTCTTATGCAGTTCTGGAATGCTAAATTTGAAGGACCTCTGTTTGATCACTGGGAAGGCTTCTTGGCTAGCATACCTGGTAATATATCTTGGTTCTCTCATTGATAGCTTCAGTGTGTGGACAAAAGGAAGTAAGGAACAGTACCTTTGACAAGAAATCACTGTTAGTTATTATAAGGACTCCACTTTTTACTTCTACTGACAAATCACATAAGTTGAATAATATGAGAAAGGGAACCAAGGCTCCAAGCACCCAGGGGTTTTCATTGAGTCAAAACTAGTGTACCTTGAAAGATCAGGTGACTTGGAATAGCATGATTTGTAGTTGAGAATGACACCCTTACAATCAGGCTAGAATATCCTTTCCATATGATTTTTACACATCCTATACTGTCAGTGCTAGGATTCTAATATGCCTTGTGATGTTTTGAAAATTTACGTAACACAGTGAAACTCATGCTTGTGACTTTCCTCAAGCCACTCTTGTTTAGTTGGCTTAGTTGTGATCGATTTGTGATTATTTTCTTTATTTAGAAGTTAGCCCACCTTCATTTGATAAGTCTTTCCTCTACTCTTAGCATTTCATGATTATCTTCCTAAACCTTCTTTGTATTACCATCTTACTATTTCTTCTGAATTTTTTTAGTCAAGTGCTAATGCTATAATTTATGTTTTATGAATAGCACCCCCAAAATTTAAAATGATCCAAGCATTGGTTTTCAGAAGCGCATTTGAAACCTATGCTCCTTAAGTTGTAGGCCTTTATACCTTAGGGATTGGACAGGAACTAGACAAACTTTGTGTAACTTCTGATAACCAGGCAATGTGTAGCCTGGAATCACTGAATAACCCCCCAGCCCCACGTTGAGTTTAACAATTTCCTTCTTAAGCCCTTGTCCTCTCTCTGTAGGTTCACATGATAGTACCAAATAGGATGTTTCTTCAGCACTACATGTGCATATGTGATATGGGTACAGTTTTACACAGTTGCATTCAAATCATGCAAAGTTGAATCTATGATGCTTCAAAATTTTACCACCTGGAAAATACCATTCTAATAAGTAAAATAAGATAAATGCCAATCCAAAGTAGGTTCTTAGTCTACCACTCCAGAACTTCACAATTTGTTGCCATTTGTGCTTGTCCCTTTGTTTTTCTCAAACCGTCGGGAGAGCTGCCCATCATTATATAAAGAAGGAATAAAGGATAGGAATACAGAACCAAGTCCCAAAATAAAAGGAAAAAAGGGAAAAGGAAGATAAATCCAACCAACATGGTCAAAAGAGAATGTAGTGTGCTTGTCCCAAAACCTTGAACCCTAATACCTGCAACCGCAAAAGACCCAGATATTAACAAAGGATGCCAGCTTCAGTGATGGGAGCAAAGTCTCAGGTTTACTTAAAGCTTTGTACCTTGCTATTACTTTAGGATTTCGAGTGGTCTTACTGATTGGCAGCAGCCAAGGGCAAAGAGGGGAAAGGAGGGATGCACAGTACTGGAGTGGAAAACAGTCAATAATGTTCAAGAGTGGCCAGTGATTAAATAACCCTGTTTCGGCGTGTCCTTTCCATTTTAGATTGAAAAATTTTCAATTCTAATATTCTGAAAATAGGTCTAATTTTTCCTTATAAACAAGTTGAGATGTTGCAGATCCTGAATAAGTTTTCATAAGAGCTTGTATTTTGATCTTTTCTGGACTTTGAACTTTTGCAGGATATCTATTGCCTGAATGCTGACGGGTCTCTGTTTGACGCTGCACTTATTTCAGCAGTGGCTGCCTTCACACATTGTACGTTCGTTTATTTTCACTGTACATATGGTTATGATATCCTCCCACTATCTCATTTTGTGCAATATAGAAATATATCACTATCAAACAATGCTGCTGTTATTTCCATCATGAAGTATGCAGTCACATTACTACTATACTATGTCTTCTTTGTGTGAAACTTTCTAATGGAACCAACCGAAATGAACAAACCTCTCAAGCTGATTCAGCCTACGGGAATATTGAACACACAAATTGTTGAGAAAAGAGTTACCTATAAAATTTGAGACGAAAATGTTGCATATCGTTCTTTGGTTCTAACATATTTCCTGTGTTAGTTTTCAATTCAGAAAGCTGCTATACTGAGATAGTTGCTTCCTACTATGGTTCTAGTCATTTGTCAAGTTTATGCTTGAAAGACTTGAATACAGGATATTTAATTATTTATGTTGAAGCTCTTGAGAATTGTTATTGAATGCAAATTACTCATTTAGGAGGAAATATGTGTGTTTTTGTGTTCTAACTAGATGCTTGGTGTTTGATGATATTTGATTAATTTCGAATACGATGATATCTTGCTTTTTTAAGAATGTCTGGGTGCTTTATCTGCTACATGATAAATTGATAATTATGTCTTTTTGTTGTCATGATTGAAATCGAATATTGCTTAGCGCACTTGTGCAAGAAAACTACAATTGCGAACACCCTGACTGTCATTTGCTTGAGGGCCTGGATTTTCATGTGTATTGACAAGTTCTCATGTCTAACTTGATCTGGTTTCCAGGAGTATGAATGTATGATCATCAAGAACATTCTGTTTTATTTTAGAGAGTACTCTCTCCTAGTGGCTGAAGCTGGTCTTGACTCTTGATCTCTGAATTGAACTGATGGCCTGTTCTTTTAGGACTAAGCACTAAAACTTTTTTGTATTATGCTTTTGTTGGTCAAAACATACACTTGAGCAATCTGTGTTTTGTTATATTTGAAGTGTTTAGGTTGGTAGTCGAATTATCAGTTCTGCTGTGCTCACCTCTATTGTTCTTCAAATTCAGTTCATACATGTCCATTTTTGTGTTCCATTTCAGTGGCTCAGTGGTCCTACTGCTAGTACCTTGCTTATTTCTCTCTAATCACTACAAATTTTATGTAATTTTTGCAGTGGAGATTCCTTTAGTTTCTGTTGGTGATGATGGTAGATTATTTACTGTTGGAGGCAATGATGGAAAAAACAAATTTGAATTGGTAAACAGAGAAAAGAGGAACCTGACACTTGGCGACATTCCATTGTCCCTTACGTGTGCATTTCATAAAGATAGTATACTAGCGGACCCAACTTCTGAAGAAGAATCGATAATAGAGACGTATGTGACTGTTGTTGTAGATTCTTCAGACCGCCTAGTGTCATTACAAAAAGTTGGAGGTGCAGTGACATCCATGGCGACTATTAAGGTTAGTTAATCTGAGCTTAGTAGAATGTTTCGTTATGGAAATATTTCACTTATACTGTTCTGTCTTTAGTCAATGCAGCGCTTTTCAATATTGCTGCAGTGTGTCATAGCAGAGAATAGGCTTCTTATATTTTACTCCTTCCATTTCGAATTGTAAGTTTAGGGTTTACTATGTATCTAGACATAGTATATATCTAGGTGCATAGCAAAAGCTACATACCTATAAAAACCAAAACGACTTACAATTTAGAACGGATGGAGCATTTGATAAGAAAGATATTATCCATTGTATACTAACTGTCATCAATGGACTGATAACACTACAAATTTACAAAGTCTAGTATTAACATTTGATTTTGTTTCATGAGAATTTACTCCTTTTTTATTATATTGAATTGCCACGTGATATATGTATTCCTCCAAATATAATGCACATTTAAACTAATAATTGATGCTAATTGTATGTCATGCTTGTCATGCAGGAGTGCATTAGCTTGGCGAAAGAAAGGAGACAGAGCCTAAGAGAAATTCTGATAGACTCTGTCAAAGCCATGGAAGTCGACCAAACTGAATAATTCTGCAAATAGATTCAGTTAATCTAACCAAAACGACTTTTGTTGATTTAGTCCAAGTATGTAGCTATTTGTACTCTACAGTAGGCACATAATTCTTCACTTAAGTAGCCTGACAATTTTGTTTGATGAGCATGTCTGCGATGCACCTTTTCTCGCAAGTTGCCGTCTTGTAACACCCTAATTCACATTTTGCAATATTTTATTTTTTTTCTAGAATTTATTAGAGCTAATACATACTCCCTCTGTCTCAGAGTAAACACACGTCTAGACCTTATTAGACAGCAGATTAGTGTAGATTGGAAATTACATTGTTGCCCCTACAAAAGGGTCTGGCACCTGTGGGCTGTGGCTGGTAATGACTGTTTGGTCTCTAGCAGGCCTTCTGATCGATAGCGCTGCAGGACCTTTTCTATATATATGAGCATCTATTTTAGCACAGTATTTGAAATTTAGAGGTGTAATTACTGCAGGTCATTTTCTCTTATACGAGCATCTATTTTGATACAATGTTTGAATTTTAGAGGTGTAATTATTTTGGAATGGAGGGAATAATAATTATTATGGAGGAGAAAAATATACATTTTATAAATTACATCTAACATGACATCGGGTTTAAAAAGTTTGTTGTATTCATGTAACTAGTATGTATAAGTGTTTATCGGTATGAAACGCTTAAACTTTGAATAGGTTTTAAAGTTACATAAAACTCAAGTTGGGCTAAAACCCCAGTACCCCACCTTTTCACTCATTATGTTTTTTTTTCTAGCCCAACTCCTCCCTCTTTTCGCTGGGCCGGAGCCCCACTTGTTAATCCATGTTCTCCCTCTCTATCTTTTTGGCCTGGCTGCCTCCCTTCAGCGACCCCGTCTCTCTCCCTCTCCGTTTCCTTTTATAGCCTAACCCTATCTTCGTCTTGCTTGGGCCGAAGCCCCACCGATCGATCATACTCTCCCTTCCCATCTTTCCTTTTTGGTCAAGCCCCTCCCACCTGGGCTGAATTTTTCTCCCTATTTCTTTTTTCAAGTCCAACCCCTCCCTCTTTTTGCTAGAACTGAAGTCCCACCTGTCGATCCATCTCCCTCCCCATCTTTCCTTTTTGGCTAGACCGCTTCCCCCTCCCACCTAGGCTAAGTTTGACCCATAAACCCTGCCGACCCTAGTCCCACCTCTCCCTCTTCCTCTGCTATGTGGGCAAGGCCCAGCACCATGTCCACTCCTCCCATTGGCCCACCCGCCCCCACCTCACCTCCCACTTTCACTGACGCGTGGGCCTCACCTTGTTAACCTCCCCTTCCTATATATCTTCTTCCTGGCTAGAACAGGAGCTGCCATCGCTTTTCTCTTCAATGTGCACTCACGTGGCCTTGCCGCCTCATGCTCGGACCTCGTGCACGTGCGCCTCGGGCATCTACCCTAATCTTCTTAGGCGCTCTTAATTGCTCCTTACAAATCTTAGAAGAGACCTTGTGTTGGCTTTGTCGATGCCTATGGGTTCCACTCCTTTTATATAGTCCCCTCCAAGACCCCATGCATACAAGTAGGTGTCCTATTCATAGTTGGATTCTACAGTCAAGTCTTAATAGAATTAGAAATCCTAATAGCATAACTCTCTTTGAGTCCTAGTCCAAGTAGGATCTGAGTCATCATAAAACAACCTCTAGTCCTTTGAAATCACTATGCAGTCCATGCTTGTGGCAGAACCGCCCGAAATAACGCACTTACGGAAGCGCTCGTCTTCCACCAGACACTAAACACCCTGAAAGCAAGCTACAGCGGGCGGGTTCCGTCGGGCACACCCCAAGGGAGAGCCCGAAGAGTCCACATTTTCCCCCAAGGATCCAATAATGAGAACGAGTTACAATACTTAGTATATTTTATACATCCAGAGATCTTAGAAATTCATTATTACATTGCCAAATTCAGAGTGCGGAATATTAAACAGCGAAATGATAATAAACATCTATCGATAAAGAACAAGGATCCATTTGTGCCCACCAGAAGAATCCTTCACACAACGGTACTCCTCAAGCATTACCTGCAACAAGGGTAAATAAACCCTGAGTACACAATGTACTCGCAAGACTTATCCGACTAGTGGGAATAGTTTTCCGACTCCAAGGGATATGCAAAACTTTATAGTTTGCTGGTTTCCTTTTTGCAGAAAGCAATACTAATAGTGAGTCCTTATTGATGTTATTAGTAGCAGCCATGATTAATTTATTATCTAGCCATTCTATGTAAGCACCTGTTCTACTTTCAAGCAAGAGTTGAGCAATCAGTTCTATTTCATCACCTTCCATCTTTCAGTTCTTACTACGGTGCTAGACCGTAGACAAGCCGTACCGGATTGCCCGACGATTCGCAAATCAATGCCCCCAACTAGGTACCCAAAAAACACACGCCCCGCTTGTACCCCAAGCACAAGCAGGATCAACCCATCATCCTCCTGTCACGGGGTCCAGGTCCCTGTCCAAACTTGGACTCCAAGCTCTCGCTTCTAAGCCCTGGACTTAGTGTGATGCAAGGACCTCCACCATCCCTGCCTCCAACCAGTTGGTTCGGAAAGAGTCAGAACCCACGACAAGAGAGCAACAAGTCTTTCCTGCGTCCATACCCAAGTATGTGCTCGGGATAATAAATCTGTGACTTGCCTAGAGACTTGTGCAACGGCTGGTCCTTAACCGACACAGGCAGGGAAAAATTGTAACCAAGCTATGTCCTGTTGGCCGCAGGACACAACCTCTTACACCCACCAATACCCAAACCATATCCCTACCCAGTCACCATTTTTTCTTTCCACTATTTTATCATGAGTGATCATAATTATCACCTATTGTGAGTAACGACAGGTTACTCCCGCTACCGATACCCTGAGCATAGCAGCTACTCGACCTATACTAGTAGGACTCATAGGTAAGTATATCTATGCATGTAGTTTTCATAAAATGCCTGTAACATAAATGCATATATATATATATATATATTCAGTAATCATTCAAAAATAGGGGTTATGCATTGAGGCTTGCCTTGGGTAGGCGGTGGGTCAACAAAGTCAGCACCGAACGGCTCCGGGGCTCCCTCCTGTACGAGAATCTCCTCCTCGTACTCCTCAATGACCTCCTCGTAGTCCTGTTCGTCCGTAGGAACGAACTCTAACAACTCGTGATCTACATGCATAAAATGATAATGCAACACTTAGTAATACGGCAACAACAACTCTTAAAATAAAATACCTCTATCAAGCTACTAAGCTAGTTCTACCGACTAAGGTGCTAAGTTACCTACTATTACCACTAACAAGTATGAAGCATGACATATATTATCTTAGCAACTAAAGGTATTCTTACTCTTAATACCGATTTACTCTATATATATGATAAAACAGGGAGTACTAGCTACTCTATTTATCAATCTACTCTAGGGCAACAAAAATTACAGTGAGTAAATAATAATCTAATGAACCTACTATAAAAATTTTATGGCTAAAGCTATCATCAATTTGCCACAAAAATTCCTACAAATATTAAGCTAGATAATACTAAGCTTTCTAAAGTGCATTTATGAGTCTATCATTATCACAGCTAACTGTAAACTAACTACACTAACATATAGATAGCATTTTTGTGAACCTAACAAATTTTGTTTCACTATTTTTGGACATCTATAGAATTTACTATTATTTTTTAAAGTTCAGCTCAAAACTAAATTGAATCAACATTCATACTTCACTGGAAATTGAAAAACCTAATCTACCGCGCGGCCGAAAGCGCGAGTGGCTCAGCCCACTCTAGCGAAACGCGCGCGCGCATGCGATGCACTGCGCGGCCCACGCGGGCGCGTCCCAGTCCGCGCGACGACGACCCACGACGGGGAGGACCCATGCGCGCTGGTCATCTTGCGAAAACGCCCTCGGCCTACCCGGTAATCACGCGAGCACTAAAAGCACTATTCCGCCAGTCTGCTATCTTACAACTATGCCCCTCCCCCTTTCCATGTTTACCATGGCCATACCCTCAGGACCCTCGCGCGTGCACCGGCGCGGCGGCGCTGGCACCAGGTAGTTACACCAGCAAGACCAACCCTTCCCCACCCTATCTACAGAGCCGATACCTGCCTAGGCGTGAACACGAAGCACTGGGCGAAGGAAGCGCGAGCTAGGACGCCGCAGTAAGACCGGACCACGGTGGTGGAGCTCCTGCACTAAAAATGGTGACGTTTCGGTGAGTTACAACAGCGCCGGTTTAAATAGGGTAGCTAGTGAGCTCCAGGCACTCACCAAGGAACCAATCGAGGCGGTGGTTCGATCGGAGGCGGCCCGAGCCAAGATGGCCGCGTGCGCACGGACGGTGCGGTGGTGCACGGCGATGGCAAGGCTGTGTCAGGGGAGGCTCGGCGGTGGTAGCGACTTGGCAAGGATGCGTAGGGTGATGAACAGGTGGAGGCAAAGTTAGCGGTGCAATGAATTGAACGCGAGCAGCTCTGGATAGGGGGCTTGCCATCGACGCATACCAACACGGTCTTATTGACCCGACGGGAAGGAAACTCCAAATTGGAGCGTGGCACGGCAAGGCTCACTGCAAGCTGGGGTCGGGTGGTTGGCTGCCTACACGATGGAGCCATGGGCAAGGTTAATTGGACTGAGGTGCCTCCATTGACCCTAATTGAGAGGAGCGGGTCCGGCGACCACGGCGGCAGAGGAACAGGGGAGGACATGCATGGCTTGGCTCGTCGCTGCCGTGGCGGGACGTGGCTGTCAACTCAGTTCACAACCATGCACGAGCTACAGGGCGATGGGGAAACGGCCAACGCGCTCAGGACGGTGGGCCGCACGGCCATAAACCGCAAACCGACGACAGTGGCTCGGCCCTACGCTGCAGTGGATGGCACTGGTCTGAGGAGGCAGCAGCGCAGCGTCGTCGAGCCCCGATGTGATGGCAAGGTAGGCGGGGCAAGCCCACGCGTGGCAAGGCAACGTGCGGGCAGGGCCAAGTGTGGCCACG